AGATCAGGTTCTTGAAAACTATGTACATGATCTTCGCGAAGATACTGACGCAGAGACTTCGAAAAGACGGACGGTGAACAACCACAATGGAAAGCAGAATTTAGAAAGGATTTAGTACGATGAATCATGCCCAGATGACACATTAAACTATGTAGACTAGAATAAGGAGCTCAGTTACGCATCAACCTCGATACACTAAAGAAGATTCGAGGGACATGGGGTGAAACATCGGTACCTGTAGAACATCAGATTCATAAAGCTTTGGGCTGTGCGGGAAAATACCATGTTCCGTTCAATTTTGAGGCGATTCGACGATACATTACTATCTTTGCTACTCCGAATAGCTACCAATAAGAGCTAAATTCAATCAATACATCCAGCGGAAGGGTAATAACCAGAAATGGCATTTGAAGTCTTGTCAGTCTACTGCCAGAAGTATATAAAGAATGAGTCCATCAGTTGTGATTGATCGATAGTTTTTACAGAAACGACCGGCAGCCAGTACAGCATTAAATCATATGTATAAAAGTGAATGAGACCGGAGAAATCTGGAAAGCAGGAGTACTGCACGTCGATAAGACTTAGGTACCCACAGAAAAATCAGATGGGATACTAATTTCGATATGAGCTCGAAGTTCATGCTGTCCTGTGGATTGGATGCATGAGGAGTGTGCCTAACTTGAAAATGATTCAAATCGCGGTTGAAAACAAATTCCCTAAAACAGCTTGGTAAAAAAAGATTGGTCCTGCATATTATGATATACAGGAAGAAGATCACAGTGTGAAGTGAACAGGGTTTGTGTTTTGAATCGATATAGCTTTTTCATATTGCCTGATGCACGCAGCGTCCGGGTAGTTGCTACCTCAAAGTCTGTAGGTTTCAGTGCTTGCCGTTTATCTTGCGTTGAATATATTCTCATAAGTTTGGAGAAATGCACATTAAAAGATAAGCACCATACGTAGTGCAAAACTTTCGTACCGGTAGTAGCAGAGATAGAAAACATGTCGAACATCTCGTCCATGTAAGCAACTATGACGACTGACGAATTGAACACGAGGGTCATGTTAGAAGTCAACCTTAATTCGTCTTGTCTCGGATTGCACAGTCTGTACGTCTTTCCTGTGCCATAAACACTTAGGTCAGTTTCGTCAGCATCACAATCGATTTCGATTAGCGGAAATGTCAGGCGCGTCTGTGCATTCGCCGATGGTACCAGACTAATGTTACATATATTGTACGCCTGCTTATCCACAATCCCATGAGAAATTCTTAGTGTAGAAAACGGAAGCAAGTAGAAAACCCTGCTTATCCAAAGTTCTAAAACATTAGTTAGAGACGACTCAGAAATTTACTGAAAAGTACTTGTTGAAATTACGTTTGTGCGTTGTCCCTCTAGCGGCACATATCGACATCGCGTTAAACTCGTCATAGCAGCAGAAGACACATTTGTCGGAACATAAGTAACTCGAAACGAGACAGTTGCTCTATTGACTCTGCGTCTAGAAGAAACAGAAGGCAATGTCTGTGATAGCACGGTAAAATATGAAATAGAATTACAAGGTTTGTTGAAAATTGTTGCATGCACCGTTTCTAACCGCTTTGCAAAATCGGAGAACAGGGCATGTAAGTTTTATGACCTTGAAAGTTTGACATGATCATAGAGATCATCTGAGATGCAAGCTTTAAACTGACTTTTGATAACAGGTAGAATAAGCATTCGAATAAGACTGTTATCGTGTCACCTTACGATCGAGGTAGTGCAGGAGCCCATTCTGATAGATGCAGATAATGTTGCAATCGGAGACTCGCCAATGACGCATAAATAATATCACACGTCCTGAGTAAAAAGTCAAAGTAGTTCCTACTTCTCTGAATCTATTTGGCTGGAGAGGTGATTGTTTGTGAGACATCGGCAAAAGCTCATGAAAGATGGAATCCAGAATGGACTGTTGAATAACAACTAACCAAGAAAGAACGGTCATGAAGAGGAATGGGCGGAGTGTCTACTTGCGTTTGTAGCATGCACAGAACCATATAAAGTCGAATGAATGATCGCCATGTGGTATCTTCGTTCAGCGTCGGAGTTAGATATGAATACTAAACAGAATGTCAAAGTTCTCTTTCATTTTGCTGGGCGTCTGAAGGCGATAAGTTTGAACACTGCAGAACGTAGATGATTACACAACCTCTCCGTGCTCTCTTCAAACCCATTATTTTAGTTGGCATAAAAATGTTCAGATTTAGGATCAGAATCGTGGGGACAGTAACGTGTAAATTGAGATATACATTCTATGTATACGGCATATGTTTTCTGCAATGGAATTCAAGATAACTTTAAATCTAACGCTGGTTCGAAAGTATAACTTGGTGAAATATCTTAGTCTATTTATTCGTGATTTTAAGCAATTGTGAGGATTTGTAAAACCCGAAATGAATTTTCAATGAAAGGGGACAGCATTGTCTGTTATTCAAGTTGCATGGAATACGTACGGCAAGGAGACAGTTAATTGATTGATCAAATGGTGAATGCCGTGCATTTTAAAAGTCCTTACACCAAAAGAGTGAGAGAAATGGAATGAAAAAATAATGAATTATGTATGATGTCGCATATTTTTAGACTGCGTTAAAATAGATGAGAAATGGTCTAAACGTTGTGATGATCAAAGGGTAGCATTACATTAAACTAGCAAAGGGCAAACATAAGCCAGAAAATTATACCATCAAATCAGCCTTTTATACCAGATTTAGAAAAGCCTAAAGGCGATTTACTTGATTACTGTCTGTTTTGTTGCATCTGTTTATGTTCTACATTGTCCAGGTTTTGGAAATTTACTGTGTGCCTCGTGTGCTCAGTTTGCCAAATCCGACTGACTGACTGGTCTCCCTCTAGTTTGTCTGTGAACGCTTTCCTACCTGTTTCTCGGCTGCTGGCACTGAATCGCAACGGGAGAGTTTGATGATCATGGGAATTAAAATTAAGTATGAGAAGTTTACGCCATGCGAAGGATTTTAACCTGAAAAGTCTAAGGCGTGAAGCAACCCTTCCCCAAACCAGAGAGTTTTCTCCAGTGACCTGATGTCATCAAAATAACGTCGCAATATTTTGCATGCACATAATTTACACTGGTGCTGCTATCTATCATCAGCAATTTTATTGGCCTGTGATGCGATAGATACGTCTAGTGAAGGTCTGAACTGTAAAATGAATAACAAATATAAAAGATGAAATTAACAACATCGATAGAAACGTGGAACTTAGCATAAAAGATGTTTTACCAATGAATTAGGCTGATAAATATTCAATTATACTTCACTTCCAATATCTGCAAGGCATTTCGCGTTTCGCGGTCGCCATGATGAACAACATTCTTCCTGTTATTACAGATGTAATTGATGTACATGTCGAACGTACACGCATCTGTGTACTCACTAGGGATATTACGTACTGAGAACGTTTCATCGTAACCGGTGAGACGCGTTGATGCGGCCTGCGACTGCGCAACAGCGCAGCTAAAACACATCACTAAAATCAGAGCCATTACCACAATCATGATACAGTTAACTGAATATCACTTACGGAACATACTCAAAACTCGAATCATGGCAGCTTCTCTGGACATGGCAGCAAATTCGGCAAGCAGCGCATACAAAATGACTTGCAGCCCTATCTCCGCTTACATAGGTTAGTTTCATCTAATACAAACAACACTCGGGCCAATCGCAGGCGGCCAACACGACAGTGTTGAAGTCACGGGAATGGAAAATTACGCGACAGAAGCCGCGTATAAAACTAAGGCTGATCAATAAATGGTCATAGACTTGAACTGACATTCGCTTGGAAGCGCATACTAATATTTTGATTGGAGTATGAAATACTTTACATCAAGTCGAGAAGTACGCAAATAATTGACATACACTAAAGAAATGTAAAACATCATCATCATCATTATCATCACCATCATCCATCG